CAGAAGGTAGTCCAGTCATTGACCAAGGCTGAATTGGACCAGGCAGCCCATTTGGCAAAAGAGTGGAATGAGAGAAAGCCACCACCCAAAGCCCAGGCAGAGTAAGCATCCAAGTTCTCCCATGGGCAATACTAACTTAAATGCAGGGTGGCAACAAGTAAGGGCCAGAAGTATGCAAAACAGTTTGCATATGACATGTGGAAGCAGTGTGGGATGAGAGTGGTGATCATGTTGGCATGGAAGGATAAGGAGGGTGAAGTGATGGTTGGAGTGTGAGTGCTTTCCTGACAGGCTTCACCATATCTGACTGGTGTAGGAATGACTTCAATGACAAGCTGGGTGATGGAGAGCTCTATTCAGATTGGGAAGACCTTCATGGAAAGTGGTCAGCCTACACAAAGAAGGCCTTTGGGGCCAATGGTATGGAGGATGGCAGCAGAGAGGATGAGGCTGGTCAAACCACAGTAAAAGTGTGGAAAGGAAAAAAGTGGTCTCAATTCTCTGTGTCCACCAATGATGATGGCACACCCATTCTTCCAAATCTCTTGGACTTACAGACACTGGAATTAAAGGACATCATGAGGGTGTTCATAACCAGCCATTATCATACATGCCAATTTCCATGGTCAATGAGTTACTAACATCTAAACACAGGCTTGGCTTGTGGGAAGATGAATGCCAGTGTACCTTGGGCTGCAATAGCTGACAACCAGGCATCCTATGTGGCTTCCAAGTATCTTCCTCCCAATATCCCATTCAAAGAGCCCACCAGGCTGACACATCATGAACTAATCAAAACCTTGGAGTTCTGGAAGGAGTGACAGCAGGAGCACCCAGAAGATGTCTTCTGGTTCTGAAGGTGGAGATCTCAGGATGGTTCCCTGGAGGAGCTGGTCATAAAACACCAATGCTGGAGACCCTGGATGGAAGGTGAGGTCATGGTCAATTTGGATATACATAACTGATTGCACATTGAGTAAATTCCATTGATGGCTCCAACTGCAGACATCACTTGGAGGAGGAACCAGTTCCTCCCACAAAACCTTCCACCAAATGGCAATGGTGTGAGTCAAAGTATGGTTCAGTGGTGAAAACCAACCAAAACCAACACAAAAGACAAAAAGAGCAAGTGGTGGTGTGCCTATGTGGTACCTAGATGGTAGAACCTGTTCTTTGGGAGGGTTTTTGCAAGCTACAACACTCAAAGATGAGTGCTGAGGGTTGGGGGTGCTCCTGATGAAGAAGAAGCAGGAATGCAAGAGAATGTGATAGGGTAGACTGCTGTCAGCCTACAGAAGGATGGATGACAACTTAATTCAATGTCCTAAGCTGCACTGAGCACAGGGAGGGCTTGGAGTGAAGTATATCAATGATAGACAAGGATAAGCAAAGTAGACAATAGTTAGACCCTTAATAAAGTCTCAACTATCAAAGCTGCTGAATGAATTACTGAGTGATGATAAAATGCAAGCAAGAGGGGCTCTCTGACATCTTTTTCCTTTTTTTTTGCTATCTAAGTACAGTGATTTATATACAGTACAGGGGTGTTTCCCTTGGAAAACAAGGTGCAAACACTTGGTAAGTGATTGGTAACTGATGAGTAAGGAATGTAAGCAATGGGTAATCATCTTGGAAAGCATTGGTAAGCATTGGTAAGGATTAGCAAGCCAGAAGGGGAAGAATCAGTAAGCAAAGTCAAAAGATTGGTAAGTATTGGCAATAGGTGAGTCAAAGACAGTCAGAACATCAAAGTATGAGTCAAGTGATGTCAGGAACTGAGAAAGCACACTGGAATCACATTAGGGGGAGGCTGTGCATGTCACATCTCAAAGAGATCACTTCTAGGCCAAGGTGGGATGACAGAGAGGCAGCACCAATCTGATACCGATATAGTACATCCAAAAGTGGACAGGGCAAGTCAGATGTCAACAGGGGTCAAGCTTTGGGGGTCTGTGGGGTGACAGGAGCATAGGGGATCACAACTTTCCCCCCCAAACCATCCTCTCAGTGAAGCAAATAAAAACTTCATGAATGAGGCTCTGTTGGAAGAGAGGATGAATGGGGAGTGTCTTCTGCTGTATCTTGCAACAAGGAGGCAAGATGTGCATCATACTCATCATGGATGCAATCAGGGAGAGTGGGGAACAGTAGATTATACTGTAGCTGTTGCAATCTTGGAAGAATGATGGATGAGGCCAGTATGAAGACATTGCAGGGAGCAGGGAGGAAGGATCCATATGCTTCTTGGACTGGAGAGACTGAAATGACCACACAAGACCTTTCCAAGCAAATGACAGACCTGAGGTGACCAAAGAACATCCTCCTAGAGGTCATACTGACAAAAAGAACATGCTGTCCAAGCTGGATGGGCTGAGAGGGCACAGATGAGGGTGGGATGTACCAGGATGCTTCAGGATGGAAGCTGGTAGGAACTCTTGGTAGATATATGTAGCCATGGTCCCTAGCAAAGGGGACAAGTGAAATGATTGATGTAGAGGCAGCCATATCAGAAGAATTTAGCAAAATGAGCATCTTTTGGAGGGAGTGCTGTAGAAATGTGTGGAGTGTGCAAATCCTTTCCAATTTTGGAAGGTAAGACTGCATGGCTGAGCACTACAAGCAAGTGTGGGAATAGTCTCTGTATCTGCAGAAATGGCAGAGATATGATATGTTGAAAACCGGAATGCTGTACATGGGCACTTAAGAATTTTAGCCAGCACTTAACTCGCTCCCTTTCTTTTTCTCTGGCACTGATGACTTGTTCTTGTGCAAGGGATGACTGCTGACATTCCTGGCTGTCCTTCTTCGCATGAGGGCTATGGTCTTTATCTCCATTCATCAGCTGTATCCATGTCCACCTCACCAAACACCTTTGGTGTGTGACAATGGATAGATGGTATGTCAGAGCTGGTCAGTTTCTTTACTGGTAACCCTAACATGACCTTGGAATTGTGTGCCAAAGATCATCCCACTGGAACATCCAATGCACAGGAGGACAACAGACAACAGAACCAGTTCACATCAGACTGGCACAATACAGCTACTGCATACCCCAAGCCAGCTGGTAAGTGGTATCTGGCAACAATGAATATTGCTGATAGAATTGTATCAGACAATCATGCCAATGATGGTGGTGATTCAACTGCAAGGAAGCCCAAGCCCAAGCCAAGAATCAGATCCAATGGTTGGTTTCCATGCACACTTGGTTAATCCTCTCATTACAGCATTCTACAGCAGCCCAGAATGATAAGATGGTCATATCACCTAATGATCATATGTATACATCCATAACACAATTACACACACTTATCTATGTCAGGAGTTGATCCAGTGGGTAGGAATTTGACTGCCAGGCCTAGACACCATGTGATGGACAGGGAAGATGGACTGTTGGATCAAGCAGAAGAGGATGGTGTGGCTCATTGCCCAGAGTGGAATCATAGGCCCCCACAGTGGCCAGATGATAATTATCCTACTCCAACCATGAGGAGGCAAAGGTAGAGTTGAGGCTGGTACCTACTGTTTTCCAGTAGACTGGCAACAACCATATATAGTGCACAGTGCAAGAATCACTGGTGAATTACCAGCCCCATAGCTACCATGTACTGTAACCCACTGTCATAATCCAATTGCAGCCAATTTGTGCACTTCTCCAATTCCATTCAACATAATGTTCATTGAAATGAGTTAAATATACAAATTAAAGCTGGTCTGGTTTAAGACAGTAGCCTACACCTGCTGGCTCTTCCTCTGGAAGATCTGCTAACTGTTGCCAGAATCTGGTAAGCATGGCATTCCACTCAACATGTGATCACCACTCCCTGGTTGCATCCACCAGGGTATTGGCATAATACCTATATGCAGTGATCAGATTGGCATTGTGTGTGGCATTGATGTCTGGCTGACATGCCCCACTCCTAGCCATGATACTGGAGATCTGCCTTGACATTTGAACTGGTAGACATGTTTAGCTATGGTTGCATAGGAACTTCTGGACTTGTGCTTGGTTTGTGGAGTATCAACTCCTGGCTGTATGGCAAACTCCTGGGAGACTGCTAAAAGCTCTGAATGTGACAATGGGATTGGCACCAGCAATGGGGATCTAGCCAGTGGTATCAATGTGGAGCTGAATGATGCAGGAGTGTCTGAAAGGTCCATAGGTTGACAAAGACCAGGGAAATTGCTGCCAGGCAATGCAAATGTTGTTGGGCTGGGAACTGGGATAGGATTTCGACAGGCTGGTGACCCAGAGGGAGTTAAGGACCAAAATTGGGGCTCAGGCAATAGGATGAATGGTTGTGATGATTGGCCAGCTGCATGAGTTGGGTAGATGTAAGCTGATGATCTTGTGGCAGCAGGTGACTGAAATGCCAGTTCTTGTAAAAGACTGACTGGTGGGGACTGGAATGGTGGGGGTGACCCCCAAGGTGGCTCATGCAATGGCATACCTGGGGCAACAGGCAGTGGTGATTTGTCCCATGCCAGCTCAAGTAACAGGGTGCTGTCAGAGAGGTGTGTTGATATGGAGTCCCAAGGAGGCTCAACCAATGGGCTGCTAGAGGAGGGAGATGGTGCCAATGACTCCCATGCTGGCTCTATCAAGGGTGATCTGGGCAAACCAGCAGACTGGAAGGAGGGTTCCATTCTGGTTGTGCATATTGTTTGAGCTGGGGACAGCTCAAAAGGTGGCTCACATAACAGGGATGATGGAGCATCCAGCAGGTCATCTTCAGTAAACATTTCCTCATCCTCATTGAGATATGCAAGCTGCTGCATATCATGGCATGATGGAATTACTGCACACAGTCATTAGAAGTAATGGTCCTTGGACCAGTTGACTTATGGAGTTTATCTGGACTGCCAGAACTGAATCTAACATTTCTGGGAGCCATATGAAAGTTCAAAACATTGTAGGTGCCATGGGGATTACACCAATGTTTGAGAATGATTTCAGTACCAGTGATAAGATTGTATTACACAATATTTTTTCACCAGTCATCATGCAGGATGTGCAAGTGCATACATAATGGAAATGAACACTTAGTGGAATGACTGTCAATTGCCATACATTACTCCCACCAAAATATGTTCAATGGTTAAACCAGTACATTGACTGTTGTAAATCACAGCATCACTGGAGTGAGCATTTGTATTTTGCTTATTCAAGCCTGTTGAATGGTGTATGCTAGCCAGTGAATTCACCACACTGCTCAAGCACCCACCACCTGCACACCAAAGCTTTACCAACAACATCCAGCTGGTCATCACCACTGAAAATGCCAAGCAGATGGTCAAGGAGGCTGCCAGGGTTACAATGCAGGCACTGAGAGGACTTTGGGGCTGGGACACTAAGCACTGGGGCAAAGCAGCTCAGCTTGTGTGGGCCCAGCTGGTAAGTGAAATCACAGCCATGATATCCATTCCTGACATCTATGTAGGGAATGGTCCAAATGGTTGTTGAACATCTACCCCTGGCATTCAAGATCCCTCCACATCTTATTGCTATCGATATGCACATGGTTGACCCAGCAACAATCTTTGCCATGCAGATGTGGCCACCTTTCAACCAGATGATGATGGCCTGAGAGGCTGATGTGAAGGATCATGTGTGGTATTGCCTTTACCACCAGCCTAAGTCTCACCCATATTACAAGGTCATGGAGGAGCTTACTGGGCCTTTGTTGAGGGCCAAGCACCAGGCACAGCCAGTGGATAAGGGTAAGGGGAAAGAGTTGGGTATGGATGAGGCTCAAAGGACTCAGCGGAGGTAGTGCTGGAAGCTGAGTGGTGTGTGAGATGCTGGGACAGGAGTTGGCCCTGTATGGTGCTAGCTGGCAGGGCATGCTGGCAATGCCACTGTACCAAATACTCATGCAGCTTGTTCAAGGGGAGGGGAGACAAGTCTGAGATGCAATGAAAAGCCTCCTGTTCAAGGCCTCACTGGGAATGATCCCCAGAAGACATGGCTGGCCTTCCCACCACTTCAATGCTGGCTGCACCAGCTCCATCCACTGGTCAATGAGCCAAATGTCAAAGGGCACCAAGCTGAAATCAATCTGCCAATCCATCCAAAGTAACAAGCTGTCATTCATCCCCTGGCCCACAGACTGGCCACCCCAGTGAGTTATTCACAGTCCTATGTTTTTTGCTAATTGGTTGAACTAATATTTCTATTGAGTAGTGGAAATTATTACTCCATCATGGCTATCCTAGTCACAGTCTCATGCAAGAAGCATTGCAACAGACCCACCCATCACTCCAGCACCAACTACTACAACTGGTGCTGATGATCCATGCCATTGTGACAAGTATCAGGAAGAGGTTACCATCCTCAAGTGGGAGAATGCTGACATGAGGCAGGAGATAGAAATAACCTGTACTGAGCTTGCTGCTCTCCATTGGGTGGCAGATGCTATCCATAATCACCTATTCCCAGCCCCAGACATGCTTAACCATCCTCTCATCCCATTTCATGCTACTTCCAACCCTACACCAGTACCTCACATGCTGGTCATGGTGGAACTTTGCACTGCAACCAGTGTTGTTGAGGTTCAATCATCCTGAAGCAGCTCAAGACAGGAGTCCACTGAACCCCCCCAGCTTCATTTGAGGGAGGTGCCAGCTTGGAAGTGCCTCCTTTGAATATCAAAGCTGTGCATGGACCTGCTGGAGGTCTGGCAATCTCTATTACTTCTCCACCACCAGCAGTCAGATCAGCACCCAGACAGGAAGGTAGGATGGAGGTTGACAAACATCAATGTACTTGTCATTTTGCAACCCATTCATGTTTTTTTTGTCTTTGTACTTGTACTTTGTTAGCTGCAGCAATATATTCTATATTGTCAAAATGTGATCTCCAGGAAGAAGTAGCTACTGCTACTGGTAGTTGTTACTGTATGATTCAGATACTGGAAAACCAATCTGGTATGGTGATGTCTGTACCAAGGCCATGGTGTTACAAGCACTAAGGGCTAATGGAGTCATGGTTCACCTAGATGATTGAATGATGACTGGCCAGCATAACTCAATTGTTTTTGCTGTATAGCATGGTGACTTTCATGGTATTGTTCTGGCTTGCTGGAGGCAGTAAGGCATTGAATTCACAGTTTAAATGTACTGGGTAGTTGGCTAGTCTTCTGGTCATTACCAGAGCCACCATTGTGGTAATACATGCATCTCCAGCATGGTACTGGTACCAGTATATACATACACTGTGGACCTGCTCCTGGGAGGTCAGGCAGGTCAGGCATGGCATGGTATAATGTCTGGGTGGGCCTCCATGGCATTGGCACTGGGATGGCATTCATGGCATTGGTGCTGAGACAGCTTGACTGATGGCCTCATGGCATTGGGGATGTGCCAGTGTAGGGAGCAGTATACTCCCTGAGGCCAAAACAGGGATGCTAACACCAAAATCCTGCCATTACCAACCACCAACCATGCCTGTCATCTTCAGAATTATTACATCTGCCTCATGTGCCACCTCACCTGTCAAACCTTTGGAGCTCCCCTGTCCATCAATAACACACACCAGTCATCATCCCAGAATTCCATGTCAACATCAATCTGACATATGTCTATCCAGAATTCCACAGTCATGTCACTTCAACCTTCACCTCATCACATAGCTGGGAAACCACATAGATCATTAGTAAAAACTCCAGTTACCCCTCTCATTCCTTTGAACCCCTTTTGCATCTATGGCCTCTACCCTTTGCATTCCACTCCATGGTACAGTGTGCACTCATCCTGTTGGAAGATATCCATCTTCCCTGTTGGTCTTTCTCAGTTATTACTTTACAGTTTGTTTTCACACATTGCTGTATGGCCTTGACATCTGACACATCATCCCTTTTGTTTTTTGGAATTTTGCTTTACCTGCCCCACAATTCTCCAATCAGTACCTTACTATCCATGTACTATATAATTCCGCCTCAGCAATGTAAAGGAATCATCAATTTTTTTCTAGGACTCACCATCTGTGTCATATGCGAGTCTAAAGAGTTCAAAGAGTCTTGTGTCTGCTGTGTCTGCTTCATATCTGTGTCCTTGCATCTACTGTGTCTTGTTTCCCTTCCTGTGCACTTAATTCATCTCAAAGTTACTTTGTTGGGTTGAGATTGTCACCTGGAATTTCAAAAGCAAGTCTATTCCTACCTCTGACTCTGTGGAATTAAATTCCATGCCCTACATTCAACTCTTTGACCAACTCTACCATCACACTCTACATCTCCTTCCTACTCAGCACCCCTTGGGTCAAGCCTAGGGAATTCCCCTTCAGCTTTCCCCTGTTCACATGCTACCCAGAGGTAGTGTCACACATCATTTTGGAGCCCACCATGAGGGGTCTGTAGATCTGGAAAGGAGATCCTTATGACCCACTTTTCAAAGAACTGAACTCGAAGAGCTCCTAGAGCCCTTCCACAGACTATCTATTTCTTCATCAGAAATCTTAATTCCAGTAGCTGATCCAAAAGATCTTTCAGAGCCCAGAGTCCCCAGTGTGTTACCCAGCATTTCCAGGAGGTTTCAACCTTGATGAACCCTTTGATCCTCCTGCAGAGCATCATGAACTTTTGCCTCTCTTGGAACTAACCTCTTCTTCATCCTCCTCATCTAGTAATTCTGAACTTGCTGCCAAACAACTTCTTATCCCTTTGCAATTGCTCACTTTAATCCCTGCTATCATTTCCCCTACCCAAGTTCCCACTCAGAATACCTCAGTTGCCCCACACTTAAATTCTGCATCCATTCACATAATGTCTGGAGCTAGAGACATGCCACTCAGAGGCTCTAACAAAGCCCTGAAGTTCTCCAGTCATACTGAAGACATCACTTGCTACCTTGAAGACATTGAACAACTCTGTGTTGAAGCTGGCCTTGACACCAGAAAAGATAAAATCCACTGGGTCATCCATTATGCTGATCACAATGAGGCAGAATTTTGGTCCACCTTAGATGCTGCAACCAATGGCTTCAATGACTGGGACACATTTTCCAAAGAACTCCTGAACTACTATCCAGGTGCCTTGGTGAAAGATCATCACTATACCAAAGCCGACCTTGAAACCTTACTCTACCATCAAGTTCAGAAACCTATGGGATTGCTGGAAGATCTCAGTAAATACATCTGGGAATTCTGATGCATCCTTGGCCTCATCCAGAAGAAGAAACTTCCTGATGACTACATCAATGAGAAATTCCTCAAGGGGTTTCCCCTGAGGTTCTGGAATTCCTTGCTCACATGATTGCAACTTTCTGACCTAGATCATGACACCAACAAGCCTTAGGAGTTCATTCAATCTGGTCTACAAGCATGCTAACTACCTGCTCAGTGGAGCAAAACAAAATCTCCCTCAGCCTGATTCATTGGCACTGTTCCCCCAGAATTCCACTCCATCTTCCTCACTGACTGTTCCTACTATCTTGAAACAAGAGTATGTTCATGTCACCCAGCAACCTGCTTCTGCCCTGCCTCCTCAACAAGGTCAAGAAGGCCAATTCCATTGTTCCTTCAATCCATGGTGTTTCTTCTGCAGAGGAACAGATGGCCACAGAACTGCAGAGTGTGCACTGTGCCACAAATACATACAAACTGGGAAATGCTCCTTGATTGGGGGAAGAGTTTTCATGCCAGATGGCTCTGACATCCCTAGGACAGCCACTGGCCAGAATTTTAAAGAGAAGATTGACAACTTCCTTGCCATGCATGAATCCATTATTGCCTCAGCCAATCTCATCTCTGTACAACAACCTGGTCAGCAGTTGAGTTCTTCTTGCAGTTGTGATACCCCACCTCATCTTGTCAGCATGATGTTCTTCAGCAATGAAGAAGCCCCAGAATTTCAGGTTGACTTGTACCCTTCTTCCTACCTAATCAATGAAGAACTTGAGGAGGATGCCAATGAAGAAGACCAATGCACCTTAGTGAGAGCTTATGCTCAGGTAGAAGAATTGAAGAACAATATCAAGAAGAAGAAGAATGCTCATTTTGATGGTGTAGAAATTCCAGCTTGTCACCAGCAAACCCCAGTGGCTGCTCCTGCACCTGCTGGCATGCCAGCTGCCTCTAAGACAGTTGTTAATTCCACACCAACCAATTCCATCCCTTCTAAAGAGATCCCAGCCATTACTAAAACTCTGGTCATCTATAGTCCCACAGATCTCCAGAAATCCAAGCCTATGACAAATTCTGCACCTCAATTCCATTATCAAAGCAGTTTCAACAAAGCAGTGGCTACCAAATGACTTGTAGACCAAGTCTTAGACATGAAGATGGAAATTTCCACTAAAGATCTCTTAGCTGTCAGCCTGGAGATTCACAAGCAGGTTAGAGAGCTAGCCATGACAAAGAAGATGACCATTAGGAGTTTAGAAACAGTGTCAGAAGCTTCTGCCTCTGCTACCTGGGCATCCTATGAACAGTATTGGGTCAGAGACACAAAAGGGAAGTGTGTAGGCCTTGCTACTGTGCCATTATGCACTGTTGATGGCATCCTAATGGACAAACTTCACATCAAATGTATCCTGGACAGCAGATGTCAGGTAGTGGCCTTGTGACAGGAGTTGTGGGAAGCCTTAGAGGCCCCCCTCTGTACTGACATGACTATGACTCTGGAGGCTGCTAACCAATCCAAAGAAAGCACCCTTGGGGTCATAGAGAATGCCACCTTGCACATAGGAAACATTGAGGCCCATCTACAAATCCAAGTTGTTGACCATGCACCTTTCAACTTACTGCTTGGTTGACCCTTCTTCTGCCTACTCTCCAGCATCCTCTGTGATTTCCCTGATGGAGAACAGTCTCTAGAAATCCGTGACCCTAATTCCAGGAAACAAGTTTTAATCCTGACACAACCTCGCAACAGACTGCATCCCCTTCCACATTTCATAAATTCTGAAGATGAAGAAGACTTGTTCACATGAAAACAAATGTGTCACCATATGAAACAGCCTGAGCAGGGTTTTTAGTGTTGGTCAATGACTTGTTTGGATTGCAAGGAGGCCATGATAATCTTTTCTCTGTGTGTTCTCTCTATGTTTCTGATCCTCCTTTATTACCTTCAAAGACTACTACCCTTTGATACTAGTTCCATCTCTCCAACTGACCCTTTCTTATTTTCAACTGCTACCACTGTTTCTCCACTGACAATCTCTGCCTTCTGCTCTACTTATCAGTTTGATCCTGTTTATCATGTCTTAAAGTACACACCTGTAGCAAGGAAGGTGAGGCCAGTACCAATGTCAATGCCAGCAGAATTCTGGGTAGAGCATTGGGAGGCCAAAGACCCACTTGTGGATCTGCCTGTTTTACCTACTCATCCCCCACCATTTGTGCCAGGTTCCAGGTTTACTCAGGAAAGAGCTGACAAGCTTGATCTGGACCCAGCAAGGTTCCTTTGGCCTACAGAATTAGACCTAGTATGATGGCTGGTCAAGACACATGAGGCTGCCTTTGCTTGGGATGCTTTGGAAAGAGGGACCTTTCGAGAGGACATGTTCCCACCCCTGAAGATACCTATGCTAGCCTACAAACCCTGGGTTGAGCAAAATATTCCTATTCCCCCTGCTATTTTCTGTGAAGTCATTAACATCATCAAAGAAAAGATTTCCACAGGAGTTTACAAACCATCTACCTTGTCCTATCACTCAAAATGGTTCTGCATAGTCAAGAAGGATGGAAAATCTCTGTGCCTTGTCCATGACTTACAACCTCTAAATGCCATGTCTATCCAGGACTCAGCCATTCCCCCCTTCATTGATTCGATTGCTGAAGCCTTTGCTTGCCATTCTGTCTATGGAATTTTGGATCTTATGGTCAGATGTGATCATTGCACCATACACAATGATCACCATGACCTCACTACCTTCCAAACTCCTATCTGTACTCTACAACTCACTAAGTTACCTATGGGCTACACAAATGCTGTCCAGATTTTCCACAGAGACATCTGTTGGATATTGAAGGATGAAATCCCTGAAGTAACCATCCCTTTCATTGATGATTGCCCAATCAAAGGTCCAAAATCCCATTACCAAAATTCTGATGGTTCCTACCAGACAATCCCACAAAATTCTGGGATCAGACACTTCATCTGGGAGCACCTACAGAATGTCAACTGCATCTTACACCATCTACATCATGCAGGAGCTACTATCTCAGCAAAGAAATGCATCATTGCTGCACTGTCTATCATAGTGGTTGGGCATAAGGTGTCATTTGAGGGGAGAACCCCAGATGAAGCTAAAGTCCAAAAGATTAAAGACTGGCCCTACTGCACAAACATTACTGAAGTGCACAGATTCTTAGGTCTTTGCTCGTATTGAAGGATCTTTATCAAAAACTTCGCTAAACACACACATCCCCTCATCAAGCTGACCAAGAAAGATGTTTTCTTTGAATTCTGTGACAAACACAGAGAAGCCATGGATTATCTTTGCCAAGCTATCATCTCATCCCCTGTACTATGCACTACCAACTACGACTCTGATAGGAAGGTCATTCTGGCAGTCGACACTTTGAATATCACAATAGGATACCTCCTCATACAGGAGGGGGAAGATGAAAAATGCTACCCTGCAAGGTTTGGCTCAACAACTCTCAACAACCGTGAATGCCATTACAGTCAAGCTAAACTGGAGCTCTTTGGTCTTTTCTGCACTTTACATGATGTCAGACTTCACATTTTCAGTGTGCAGAATTTAGTTGTTGAGGTTGATGTGTGATATATAAAGGGGATGATTAACAATCCCAACTTACAGCCCAACACTACCATCAACTGCTGGATTGTGGGAATTCTTTTATTTGACTTTGAGCTTGTACATGTCCCTGCACACAAGCATGCAGCACCAGATGGTCTTTCAAGGAGACTGAAAGCAGAAGAAGATGAGGATGGGGAAGAGGACTATGAGGACTGGATAGATGAGTATGGAGCCTTTGCTGTCAAGCTGTTGAACCATAGGGAGGCCTGATTCAAGTCTCAGCCTTACCCTCTGGAAATTCTGAGTACCTTGTCAGACTCACCTTTGATCTTGTCACTGAGTCTAGGCATCTATTCCTCCAAATAAACCTTGCCAAGTGTCTATGAGATGGAAATTCTGCACTCAGAGAAAGTGATCCAGAGAGAGGAGAGGTTGAAAGTGGTGAAGGAATTTTTGGAGATGAAGAAGATGCCAGAAGGATTGGAGGAAGGGGAGTTGGAAAGCCTGGTGCATCTTGCCACTTGGTATTTCGTCAAAGGAGGAGAGCTGTGGAGAAAAGACCCTCAAGGACATCACCAACTAGTAGTTGCCCCTCACAAATGACTTGGGATCCTTCATCAGGCTCATGATGAGCTAGGACACAAGGGTATCTACTTGACCTGCATGCATTTGCTGACTCATTTCTGGTGGCCTATGCTAGAGCAGGACATCTGCTGGTATGTCAAGACATGTCATGAGTGCCAAATATGCCATTTGGATTGTGTACATATTCTGCCAGTCATCACCATCCCTGAGCCCCTATTCTTTAAAGCATATATGGACATGTTCTTAATGCTGAAGTCAAACAGATTTTGCTATGTCACCCAAGCTTGCTGTTCACTCACTAGTTATCCAGAGTGGGCTATGCTTCATGCAGAAACTGGCAAGACCATCAGAAAATTCATCTTCCAGTAGATCTTGTGCTGCTGGGGTGCTGTTGCAGAAATCATCACAGATAATGGTGGTCCCTATGTCCTCGCCCTCAATTGGCTCTCCAAGACCTTCGGAATTCACCATATACAAATCTCACCTTATAACTCACAAGCTAATGGAGTCATTGAGCATCAGCATTTCAATGTGAGGGAGGTGTTGGTAAAGAGTTGCAGTGGAGAAGCATCAAAGTGGTCAGAAGTGGCTCCTACAGTGTTCTGGGCAGAGAGGGTTACAATTCACAAGGCAACTCAGTTTTCTCTGTTCTATATGGCTCACAGTGTCGAACCTAGACTCCCCTTTGACATTGCCAAGGCAACATTCTTAGCCCCTTTCAAGGCAGAATTTTACTTGGCAACAGAACTCATTGCCCATCATGCTCAACAACTCCAGAAACATTCAGAAGGCCTTGCTCACATCCAGGATCTCATTCTGAAGTCTCACTTTGCATCAGTCAAAGACTTCATTGCTTGTTTTGCACACACCATCCAAGACTTTGACTTCAAACCTGGGTCACTCATCCTCATGCAGAATTCACATATTGAGCAAGAACTAGATCACAAGACCAAACCACACTACCTAGGCCCCATGATTGTTGTTCAGTGAACCAAAGGAGGCTCATACATCCTGACAGAATTAGATGGTGCCATGTCCAAATTCTGTTTTGCCACCTTCCATCTTTACCCCTATTTCCTGTGGAACAACTCTCATATCGAAGTCATGCAGTTGACTGGAATTTCTGCATACAACTTAGATTGCTTGGAAGATGATTTGCTACCAGACCCTGCACTCACTGGCATCCCTTTGGATGAATCAGATGAGTAGCACACCTTTCTCTCTATCTGTTTCTTTCTTTCCTTCCCTCTTGTTCTCCACTTTCCCTTTTGCTTATATATTTACCCTCTTCGTCTCATATGAAACAAAACCATCTTCAGGAAAAAGGAAAAAAAAAAAAATTCCACTCATCTCTTGTCTCTTGTCGATTCACTCTCTTTCCCTGCTCCCTTCTTAGCGATAATCCTGTTCAAAATACCAAAAGACTCACAAAATAAAATAAAATGAATAAATTCTGCAGTCTACTTATGCTACTGTACATGTACCTACAGATCTTTGAGCTGATCCTTCAACCTCTTCAGCTCCCTGAACTGTGCTGATCTGTCACTCTACTCATGTTGCCAACAGTCCCAGCATCTGGTGGATCTGGGTCAACTCAAACTCCTCATCATCCACCCTACCCTCCAACAGTCAGATGTGCTCAGCAAGAGCCTCATGTGCAGTCGATTTGCTCAGGTTTGCAACTGGTGGAGTTTCTTTGACTGGGGGACCTTTGGACTCGTCCTGTGTGCTGACAATGGGTGTGGGTGGATTGTCCAATAATCCCATTGGTCTACCAAAGAGTCCACCATTGCTGAGGTCTCCCAGATTGTCCATTGGTGGTGGGGTTGGCCCAGGGCAAGGTCGAGGTGCAGGGGTTGCTGATGGAAGGAAAAGTGGTGGTCAAGGTGCAGGAGGTGGAGACATGTTCAAGGTCAAAGGGGGACTAGCATGAGGTGTTGGGTGCTTGGGAGACAGTTCGGAATTTTGCCTGGGAGGTGGTTTGCGAGCAGGGATTCAAAGTTTCAACCTGGTTGACACTGGGGTTTCAGTCATTGCCATTACCATTATTGATTTGACCCATTTATGCGACAGCCCAGCAGCCATCTCTCCACTTCCAGCATTCTTGCACTGAGTTATGGTTCAGTGCCCTCATTCTTCATGTTGCAGTCAGCTTGTACTCACCTTCCTACCCACTCTGAGCAACTGGCTGCACTTCTGCTTGGCCTGTCTACATCACTTGCATGACTCCCCAGGAAGACCTTCACACACTCCCTACATGGCAGGTTGGCTTTGGGTGCCAGAGCACCAGTTTTCAGCAGGTCAGGGTTGGGTGGGCAGTCACCTTTGTTGTTCTCCAGCTCATTGACTTCATCTGTGGCCTGCAGAGTTTTTCTGAATGTTAGCCATTGCACTCAGGGTTTCCTGGAGGGTAGGACATACCTTTTCCTTGCCCTTCCCCTTGCCTGTGCTATCTGTCTGTTGCCTCACTGGTTGTCCAGTCCCCCTTGAAGACTCCCCTGCTTCAGTGTTGCTGGGTGCACAGCCTTGACCTTCACCTGTCACTGTTGCTGCCTGTCTGCACATGTGCATAGAAGGTTCTCTTGTCAACCTTTCCACCTTGAGCTGTGCCCTCAACTCTACCCTCTCCTGGTAGTCTTCAAAGATGTCATTGATGTGGATCTGTCTTTGCTCTACTGGGTGCTGGAGGTCAGTGATGGCAATGGCACCTGGGACTAAAAGGTTTTGGCACATTGCAGATTCCTCAGTGTAGTTGTGCATGCACTCATCACAAACCTTCAGTACAATAATTCCATTGTTGTTGATGTATTTCCACCATGAGCTAATGCTGGCCTGTGGAACTCTGTCAACACATGACACACTGCAGTGGAAGGTTTACTCACCCAAGTCTTGTCCCAGTCCTCCACCCACACATAGATTGTCTCCAATCTCTCCTCTGGCTGTGGCACTGCCTTGATCAAGTCCCAGACATGCCCTAGAGCTGCAGCAAGCACCATGGTCACCTGGTCCCTCATGCTGAACATGGGACATGCATTGTTGATGGAGTAAGCTTGCATAGTAGTTGGTGAGGGTAGTGAGTATCTGAGAACAAGGTGGTGGAGTAACAAGGGTGAATCTGACAATGAGATGGTTTCTGGGCGAGTTTGTCTAATTCTGCAGGGTTGCTGCTGACATGTTATCTGGGTGCAGAGTTTTTTCTCAAACAAGGCATGTGGCCAAACATGAGCCTTCTTCATTTACATCACCTTCTGCATCTCCACTGCCCTTCTGTCACAACTCAATGACCTCTGACCAAGGACAGTCAGCATTCAAAGACCCTGGGAGGTGTAGGGAGTGGTATACTCCCCAAGGCTGAAACAGGGATGCTAACACCAAAATCCCACCATTACCAACCACCAACCATGCCTGTCATCTTCAGAATTAACATCTGCCTTGTGCGCTGCATTGCCCATCAAACCTTTGGAGCTCCCCTGTCCATCAATAACACACACCAGTCATCATCCCAGAATTCCATGTCAACATCAATCTGACATATGTCTATCTGGAATTCCACAGTCATGTCACTTCAACCTTTGCCTCACCACATAGCCAGGAAACCACATAGATCATCAGTAAAAACTCCAGTTACCCCTCTCATTCCTTTCCTGAAAACCTTTCTCCACAATGCAAGAACCCCTTTTGCATCTGCAGCCTCTACCCTTTGCATTCCACTCCATGGTACAGTGTGCACTCATCCTGTTGGAAGATATCCATCTTCCCTGTTGGTCTTTCTCAGTTATTACTTTACAGTTTGTTTTCACATGTTGCTGTATGGCCTTGACATCTGACACATCATCCCTTTTGTTTTTTGGAATTTTGCTTTACCTGCCCCACAATTCTCCAATCAGTACCTTACTATCCATGTACTATATAATTCCACCTCAGTGATGTAAAAGAATCATCATTTTTTTTCTAGGACTCACCATCTGTGTCATATGCAAGTCTAAAGAGTTCAAAGAGTCTTGTGTCTACTGTGTCTGCTTTGTATCTGTGTCCTTGCATCTACTGTGTCTGCTTCATATCTGTGTCCTTGCATCTACTGTGTCTCATTTCCCTTCCCATGCACTTAATTCATCTCGGAGTTACTTTGTCAGGTCAAGATTGTCACCCAGAATTTCAAAAGCAAGTCTATTCCTACCTCCAACTCTGTGGAATTAAATTCCATGCCCTACATTCAACTCTTCGACCGACTCTACCATCACACTCTATGTCTCCTTCCTACTCAGCACCCCTTGGGTTGAGCCTAGGGAATTCCCCTTCAGCTTTCCCCTGTTCACATGCTACCCAGAGGTAGTGTCACACACTGGAACATATGGCATAGGTGCTGGGACTGCTTCCACAGCATTGATGTTGTGCTGGAACACATTACAATGGTGCTTGGATGGCTTGCATGATGGACTCATGGCATTTGGGATATGCTGGAATACATGGCATTGGTGTTGTGTTAGAACACATTACAATGGCATAGGTGCCAGAACAGCTTCTATGGCATTGGTGTTGTGCCAGAACACATTACAATGGTGCCAGAATGGCTTTCATGATGGCCCCATGGCATTGGGGATGTGCCAGCACTCATTACACAGGTGCTGGGATGGCCTGCATGATGGACCTGTGGCATTGGGGATATGCTGGAATACATGGAACTGGTGCTGGGCTGGCCTCCATGGCATTGGTCCAGTGCTGGTACACATTACAATGGTGCCAGAATGGCCTTCATGATAGGCCTCATGGTATTGGGGATGTGCCAGAATACATGGCATAGGTTCTGGGATGGTTTCCATGGCATTGGTGTTGTGCTGGAACACATTCCAATGGTGCCAGGATGGCCTGTATGATGGCCCCATGGTATTTGGGATGTGCTGGAACACATGGACCTGGTGCCAGTGCCAGCTCACAATACATCAGTGCCAGAACATGTGGCATTGGTGCCAGCATGGCTTCCATGGCATTACCATTGTGCTGGTTCACATTAAATCAGTGCCAGCTGGGACAGCCTCCATGGCATTGGTCCTGGGTTGGTGTTGGCCTGGCTCACATTGCATTGGTGCTGGGATGCCTTGAATGGCATTGGTATTGGGCCTGCCCATGTGGAATTGATGCCAGGACAGCCAGCATAGCATTGGTGTTGTGCTGGCCTGCATGGCATTGGTAATGGGCCTGTTCATATTGCATTGGTGTTGGCCCAGCTCACATGGCATTCGTCCCAGGATGGCCTGCATGGCATTGATGGTGGGCCAGCCCACATGGCAGTGTTGCTGGGATGGCTAGCATGGCATTGGTGTTGGGCTGGCTTGCATGACAGTGTTGCCAGGGGTGAACTCAGGGGCTGAGCCCACCCATACCTTCTGGGGACACCCAACTCTGGGCTTACCTGGGACTACTCATATTGCAGTGGCTACACTCTAATCCCACAGCTAGCTTGTACCCCATGATGACAATTCTAACCTCTGCCCAGCCATTCTCCATAATGACTCCTACTCTTGGGCTCAGCTGTATGCTATGGTGACATGCATTTATTGGGCTCTCCCATAGTCCATGATGACACTTACTCCCCAGCCTGCTTGTAACTGACAATGACAATTCAAACCACAGCTGCACCATTCCTCACATCAGAAAAATAACACTTTACTATTTTTGACTTTTTGTGACTAATGTGACTTTTTGGGAAGGAATCTACTATCATTACCCATGTCCTGCAGGCCACCTCAGGCAGCAGTTTTTTGGAGGGATGGTGGTCTGTTAGATATATATTTTGTGACAGCAACAATGTATCTAACAGACCCTACCTCCAGCAGTGGTTCCCAGATGTATCTAATTATGGTTATGCTTCTTGAAGTGATCCACCCCTCCCCTGCCAAATCTGGATATGTCTTCTGCAACATAAGTGAAATAGGGTAATTTACCCCTATTCCCTATGCTTCTGATGGACAGTGTTACTGATAATCCCTCTGTTGACCCTCACTCAACCATCTTGAGAGCCTCTCAAGATCCTCATCCAACCATCTCAAGAGCCTCTCACCAACCTCCATAGATACACATTTATCATTCCAATATGGCATCCCATGGCTTCTGAGTGATTGCATAATCAATATGTGGTAACTTGTTACAGACACACAGTGACTCAATCATCTTGGGAGCCTCTCAAGAGCCTCACCCAACCATCTTGAGAGCCTCTCAGCAACCTCTGAAGATATATATTTATCATAGTAACATAGTAACCTGTGCATCTGAATGATTATGTAACCAAGATGTGTCATTGTTAATGAATCTGAGATCTGTGGGCCCTGAGATCTCAGATCTGACCTGCACTTCTTTGTGATTATGTAATCAAAAAAGCGGACTGAATACCCTGCTGTCCCCTGGCTTTTTCAGCTTCACCACACACTCTCCCTGCCTTGTGAGATGTTCAATTGAGTTCCAATGGAATGTTTGTATGTTATTTCATAGATACACATGCAATTTTGATCCAGTTAAGTGCCCTGGAAGGATGCCAAAATAAATAGGGGTAAAATGCGAACTCTGCCCGCATTTTTGCAATTATTGACATATGAACATGTGGATTGTGTCCCCAGGCATCCTTAACATACATCTACGATGTATCAAAATCCCAAGGCATCAGCACCAGCCCTTACAGAGATATAATTAGTTCCCCTCCTCCACACTGTATGGGGTCCAGGCTAGTATCCTTGTCATTTCTGGGTTTTCTAATGCATTGGGCCTATGGAGGGTATACAGTAAAATGTCTAATTAGAAGGGCTTGGGTAGTTTAGTTGAAGGATGAGGTGTCAGGCCACTATCTTTCTTTTTTCTGATATGGCCACCATGGGACTCCTGTATGGATAACTTGTGATGTAATACCTTGGAATGGTTCTTTTCCAGTATGTCTACCAGTATCTAGAGTTCCAAGTCCATCAATTCAGGATTGGGGAAGCAGGAAATAAAATGATTTCTGAAGAGCGTGGGAAAGTAACCGAAGATTTTAGGAGACTTTGAAAACATGTAAAAAATCTGTAATAATACAACACACAGCACTCCAATGTACATGATACTGTAGAGATAGTATGTGGCTGATGCAATGAACACTCTGATAGCAATGACACTATAATATAGCTGCATGAAATGCCAAAAATGCGAAAGCCTCCTGGTCTCCATTTCCATGTATGCACTGCAAGACTGAAGCAGAGTCTAGCAAAGTTGTAACACATCTATGCAATGGGCACTCAGTGGACAGGTTGGACAACAGAAGGATGGTATAGAGAGGTATGAAATGACAGTAGCAATCTAACAAAACCCAGAAATGACAAGGATACTAGCCTGGACCCCATACAGTGTGGAGGAGGGGAACTAATTATATCTCTGTAAGGGCTGGTGCTGATGCCTTGGGATTTTGATACATCGTAGATGTATGTTAAGGATGCCTGGGGACACAATCCACATGTTCATATGTCAATAATTGCAAAAATGCGGGCAGAGTTCGCATTTTACCCCTATTTATTTTGGCATCCTTCCAGGGCACTTAACTGGATCAAAATTGCATGTGTATCTATGAAATAACATACAAACATTCCATTGGAACTCAATTGAACATCTCACAAGGCAGGGAGAGTGTGTGGTGAAGCTGAAAAAGCCAGGGGACAGCAGGGTATTCAGTCCGCTTTTTTGATTACATAATCACAAAGAAGTGCAGGTCAGATCTGAGATCTCAGGGCCCACAGATCTCAGATTCATTAACAATGACACATCTTGGTTACATAATCATTCAGATGCACAGGTTACTATGTTACTATGATAAATATATATCTTCAGAGGTTGCTGAGAGGCTCTCAAGATGGTTGGGTGAGGCTCTTGAGAGGCTCCCAAGATGATTGAGTCACTGTGTGTCTGTAACAAGTTACCACATATTGATTATGCAATCACTCAGAAGCCATGGGATGCCATATTGGAATGATAAATGTGTATCTATGGAGGTTGGTGAGAGGCTCTTGAGATGGTTGGATGAGGATCTTGAGAGGCTCTCAAGATGGTTGAGTGAGGGTCAACAGAGGGATTATCAGTAACACTGTCAGAAGCATAGGGAATAGGGGTAAATTACCCTATTTCACTTATGTTGCAGAAGACATATCCAGATTTGGCAGGGGAGGGGTGGATCACTTCAAGAAGCATAACCATAATTAGATACATCTGGGAACCACTGCTGGAGGTAGGGTCTGTTAGATACATTGTTGCTGTCACAAAATATATATCTAACAGACCACCATCCCTCCAAAAAACTGCTGCCAAGGGTGCTGCAGGCATGGCTGCACTTTTCCTGCTGATTTTGGTCTTGTTCAAACCACCTAATTCATAGCTTTCAGTAGATACCACATACATTCAAATTGATGGAGGTTCCAAAGAGATATTGTGATTTTTCTCTCAGACAGTGTGCATCATACTAGTGGCTCAATATCTCTGAATTTTCAGACATTTTCTAGTCTTCTTGGCTTAGATATACCATCACTTAGTTGTCTCAATAGATTCTGTTCTCTTTTCATTCTTCAAATTGCTGTATATGGTCTAAAAAAAAGTACAGATAGTAGGTTCCTTCCCAAAAAGTCACAAATAGTCACAATAGTCACAAAAAAAGTCACAAAAAGGTCAAAAATAGTAAAGTGTTAATTTCCTGATGCATGACAACATCTCCTCTCAGGCTCAGCTGTACTACATGGTGACACTCATCAGTTGGGCTCTCCCATACTACAAGGTGACAATAGGTTCATGGCTCTCATGTAACACATGTGCACAAGCCATACATGGGCTCAACCTCCACTGGCCCATCACCAACAGCTGATTGTCAGCCTCTGCTGACCATCTCATACAGCCTAACCAGGTGCATGGGCTCATATTACACACTGGCCCATCACATTACATTGGATGGAAGGGCCATGGGCTCCCTTTCTCAGTCCCTGACATGCAGATCAAGATGCCTTCTATCCCAAGGATGGGTCATTAATGCCAAGGAGGAAGTTGTATAAGGCAGACCAGTGAGATGGTGACCACAATGACAGCATCAAAAGACAGTGTAAGGACAGTGTTCAGTCCTGACAACCACAGCAACCACTGGTCACAGCATGAAGGATACCAGGGAACACAGAATGTATGCATCACTCTGACATCCAGGAATGATGAGACCTAACCTCTGCTGTGCAGCTACTGAGTAAGAGCACCATGGAACAGAGAGGGCAATATTCTTCAATGCTAGAACTATATACATACCTGCGCCTCGACAAGGAGAAATATGTTTGCACTACCGGATCTGCAGGGAAAGAAAGAAAAAAAACGTAGCTGTGAATTCATGCAGTTCAAGCACACATCTAGGGTATTGGAATATTATTGCTTTAAATATGCTCTACACAGTTCTGTTGGCATCACAGGGCCAAGGTGCCCGTAATTTGAATTTGATGGGCAGGCATAGTGTAGTACACACGAAAGTAGAGGGGTTAATTTTCTTGGGGAGACTTTGCAGAACCTGCCTTACCTTGGGATGTCACTCGATACATAAGGTTGGAGCTTACTTAGATCGTGAGGTTGGTCGGCTCGGTCCTGGGAGTGAATGTAGGGGGTACCAGCTTATTGGACCATTCAAACACTTCACCTCCGCCATAGGCCCTAATGGTGCCGGATATCCAATCTCATGGATACCGTCTCGTTCACGCTCGGCGTCAAGAGCGCTCAGTTGCAGAGTAGCCAACTCAGGGATCTCGTGTTTCAGGGGAGACTTGCCAGGGCACGGGTGGATGGTTCAGAACCCATTCGAGACCAGGGAAGCAGGGAGGAGAGTGATGGGGACGAGGATCAGCGGGAAGGAGCGCAAAGAAGGCTTGGGTACTTGCTGTTTATGAGGATGCAGGTAAGAAAGAGTGGTGGTTCCAGCCCACATATGTCCATGCATCCTGCTCTTGCCACCTGGGATGATAATCCCTTCTCAGAATTTCAATTACTGGTGCCTCTGCGTGCCGTCTCAAGATCTCAATGATCGAGTCCCCATTTTTGCGGCATACAACACAGCCCTCGTATCCCATAACATTCTCGTGAAAGCAAAGAACTCCCTAGACTTCCAGGGAGACGTCGAAGCTGTGGATCACAATCACCGCGTGAATTGATGCGTCTTATCGAGCAGGTATAAAGGCTCGTAGAGTTGGCTGCCGAGTAAGAAGGCAAGGAGGCACAGGAATGGGCGACTGAGAATGCCGCATTCAACAGTACAAGGAACAAAAGGGAGAAGCAAAACGCTTTGAGGGCCTCCATCGCGAAAGGGTATGTACAATCGTTGTTGCAAGTAGTGTTGCCCCTTGTTCGTTGGCAGGACAAACTAATGCTTCATTATACAAGTTATCTCACATCGAGAAGGTTCTCGAAGCAAATGCTCACGATATCCAAACGAAATCCCAAGGCTCTCGCAGGTCTCCGAAGTGAACAGCGAGTCGATGACGAAGCTCGACACAACCCAGGCAAACACGCCAAAGTGCGCGTAACAGTCTTCACAGAGGAGGGGGAGATCAAGAAGGCCGAGAAAGCCATTGATTCCAAGGTACAGTACGACCAATGAGACCGCTGACGAATCGTCTTCAACCAGCATACATACATAGTAACCCAAGCTGGTGACGACCGACGGGAAAATTAGACATTAAACTCGGAAGGCACATCACACAGAAACTCTACACGAACAATTTGTGGCAAAAGATGAGGAGCGTCAGCGAGCCAAATTAGAGTGGCTCTGTCACAACCTGTGGTAAGCACAGCGAGCTGCGGAAGAAGTAGCAGGTGAGGAAAATGCGCATTTATTAGTGTATTACACCACCTACGCTCCTCATGAATTAGAGGCTCATCATCCCGTGTCTCAGTACAGCACAAGTTGTTCAGCGAAGAGATTTGTCAGCAAATTGCACGGCTGATGCGTTAGTTAGTTAGTCCTTTCATCCTGGGTGGCAACATGGTCTGACGACCGGCTTGCCCGTATCAGGGCGCAATTTGAACAAGAGGAGTTACAGCTGACCCAGACGCGCCTAGCCAACCTCCGGAAAACCCAAGAAGAGGACACCAAGGTGGCTGAGCTTGAGGAAGGGAAGCGCCGCATGCGGGAGGAAATTGCCGAAGCTCTGGAAGCACTGGAACGCCTTCGCGAGGGTCCCGATGAGCCCAATCATATCCAAGAAGAGAAGAATAAGACCGTTGAGCAGGCGAAGAAAGTTCATGCCCGCTCAGACAAAGTACTTGATCAGGCGCTGAAAGACATTGGCCTCCGGTAACGTAAGGTAATTCACATCCCCCACTTCATGCTCATGCAAATTTAGAACGACGAGATGGAGAAGTTGGGCCTTGAACGCACGGCTTTGTATCGCAAGTGTCGACTTGAAGACATCAGCTTAGGCAATTTGGAACACGTCTCCATGGAGGAGGTAACGTAAACTGACGCATGGTACGAGCGTTACTGTTAACGTTTCCAACAGAACCTCCGTGAAGAAGTTGCTATGGATGTGGACGAGGACGAGGAGGGTACTCAGGGACCAAAACAAGTGCAAGACACGGTATTGAGGTTGACCTCGACGCCCTGGACGACGAGGAGAGAGGTAAGTTTTGGTTTTCGTATTGCGATGAATATTGTACAAATTTGCACCCAGGGCAGCTTGTCAGAGATGCTCGCACGGTTCGACTCATCCATCCTGAAGCTGAATTCGGAAATAGAGCGAATGGCGCCATATCTCAAAGTGATAGAAAGGTGGGAGGCAATCTCTGATGTTATGGTGCCTACTGGTCGGTGACATGTGACACGTAGACTAGACGATGTGGAGGCTAAGTTTACAGATACTGAGAAAGCGCCTGAAAAGGTGCGCAAGGACTTGGAGAAAGCTCGAGACTAGTTCAACGATGTCAAGCGACGGAGGCACGTCAACCTTTCATGTAGCGCAATACCGCGCTATTGTAACCTTAGGTATGAGCTTCTTACCCAAAGCCTATATTTACATCGCTGGTCGAATAGACCTTGCATACAACGAACCGACAAAGGGCAAGTCCACACCTATGGAAGTGTTGCATACCTCAGTCTGGAAGACAGCAAGGTAAAATTTCCGGATTATCTGTTGTATACTACTTTCTCTTACAAAGGGCTTGATAGGAGCCTTACGCCGCTGGCATAAAGTATCACACTATGCCACCCATGAAGCGTTTCCGAGATATGGAACAATTGTGTGATGGAGAGAAAACAGTAGCCGCTTTAGCACTCCTCTTCGCTATGAGAAAGGTACCAGGAATATACAAACTAGTGTGTATTGCAGCTACCAACCGACACCATTCTTCGTGCTGGACGAAGTCGACGCAGTATTGGACAATACGAACGCCGCCAAGGTTCCAAATTGTATCCTCTCGCACGCATCCGATGCATTCCAGTTTGTTGTGATCAGTCTCCAAGGGTCGTTGTACGAGCGTGGACTCTCCCTTGTGGGGATATACCGAGGTCAGGACGTCAATAGTTCTCGCACGCTGAGGTTGGATGTAGGTGCTGTTCACTTCTTCTTTTTGGGTTTCCATCGCTTAACCGGTCTTCCCCCGTAGCACTGGCAGTTAACCCAATACGACGAAATTGAAGGTGCCCTTGGGGTGATTTTGTGTGTCTAGGGTAGTTGTCGTTCTTATTATTCGCTATCGATCCTGTTGTTCTTCGTAAACCGTAGTAATGTAATGATGCTTTGCCAGTCACTGCGGAAACGAGATTTTGTCTGGTACTGGGTATTGTATGGGCAGACAATAGGACTGTAGATAGAACATACTTTGACAGGTGATCCACCTTTGTTGAGGTAGGTTATGTAATGCTGTGCTTCTTTGACACTGCCTGGAGTCCAGCCAGCCTCAGTGGCTGCAGTTCTGGCAGACAGCAGCTCATACACTGTGTAGTACAGACAGATACTGTGTCACTTGTCCCTTCTCCAGTCATCATCCAGCCAGATAGTCTGTTCATACAGTTATAGTATAGGATTGTTCAAATTTGTCTGCAGGCATAATACAGAATTAATCCCTATGCAAATCCCTCCCTGGGTACCCTCCCTACTGCAAATCCCACATATACCACTCCTTCTGTTCACTGCCCATGCATCCCCCACCTTCCTAGCTCCCTCCTGAACATGTTCCAGGGTCCCCCCAACTGTGGGCCACCTGAGTGGTCCTGTAATGTGAGCATGGACATGAGGTTCAGCCAATTAATAGCATCAGCTTCCAGTGGGCCAGGTGGGTCACAAAATGTGTCTTCCTCCCATAGTATGCAAGAAAGCAGCTCATTATTGTCTTTGACAGATCATAGTGCCTCTAGGGGACACCAAAGTATGAACCTAAACCCAGTTTTGGGTGAATGTCAGTTTCTGGAGGAATGGCAGACCCAAAACACACCTTCCCCAGTCAATTCACAGCTTGAAAATGATTTCAGCTTCACAAGACCACTGAGCCAGTCCTTGGTAAGTATTATTAATAGTAATAAAGCATGCCACATGACACACAAAGACTTAGTTGACTGAAAAAATTGATGTTATGGACTTACCTGCTGCATCCTTTGACATAGCTTTCAATGGTGTATTAAAAATGATGAAGAAATGGATTTCTCACCACATTCAGAGCTGCACATGGGTTGTTTGTTGTGAGCTGGAGATTTCAGGAATTCAAAGATTTTGAGTGTTACTGTCAGAAATACTAGATGAAAATAATAGGTACCCATGTTAATGAACTCACCTGAATCTTGCTTGACATCCATGATGGGATCAGTTTGGACTCAAGTGCTTTTGTGTTCAACAGCAAGTACAGTCATTATCTTGAGAGTCTTGGAGAGGAAAAATTAGTCTACATTGAAGATATCATTCAATGAGCCAAATACCACAATGCCAGATGTTGGTGGCATGAAACTGACATGATAGGTTCCAGGGTGTGTTATATGGAGCTGGAATGATATGAGGTTGGTCATGGTATGGGTTGGTGCTGAGGTTGAAATTTTTGCAAAGTGTCAATGACTTGTCTGGAAGGTGTCATGGTGTACAGGCAGTCAAGCAGAAGATTGTCTGGATGTCAAGAAAACCAGCCATCCCCTTGTCTGGAAGTCAGTCAGCATCTAGGTAGATGAGAAGTCCTTATGGTGTAGACAGAACACATGTTGATCTGTTTGGATGATGGATTTGGTACAGACACATGATCTGTCTCCAAACCATACATTGGGATTTTTGCCAAGGCTCAAGTGGATTTCATGAAGTCTGGATTTCATACAGAAAAGCTCCCAGATATTTCTGACAGTCAAATTTGGTCAAGAAATATGGTTAGCCACATCTGTATTGCACACAGACCACCTTCCACAGTCTATTTACTGTACTGACAGAATCTTGTTTCTGCAGTGAGTGCCATCAATAAGTTTAATGGTGAATGGTCACGTGCAAGGTGAAGGGGGACTGTGCCCAACACCTGATCACTGATAGTTGATGTGTACTTTGCATAGTTCACAATTCTCACTACAGTTGCTAATGCCATGTGTTTTTCCTTTTTTGTATGACAAATGCCATGTGGCCATGACAGGCTGCCATCCACTGTCCCTGTGCTGTCCCTGTCCCTCCTGTAGTTAGCTGTGCTGTGTCTGCAAGCTTCCCCCCCCCCCTTCTCCCTCCCTGTAGCTCTCCATTGAGGCACTTGACACACCAGAAGATTTGCTAGAACTGTGAGTGTTTGCACTGATTGCACTGATCTTGGCTACATATGATCCAGATAAGGAGATCTCTGACTGATAAGGCCCATATCCTTCGCATTTTTGACCATTTTCAGTGTTTCCCTCCACTTCTGGTAAGCCTATCAACCTGCTACCATGCTCAGGAGTGCACTGAGATCATTTCATTGGCTTTTTGGGTCTTTTTCTGTCCTTTTTTCACTTTTTGGCTGAAATTTTGGTTTTTTTTTGCAGGCATTACTTGGCCTTTCTCCATCCAGAAGTGCTTGGTGGGTACCTCCCATATTGGCAAAAAAATTTGGCTTTTGGTTATACTAAATGCATTTTATCACATTTTCAGGTCATTTTTTTGGCATTTTTGCACAACTTTGCACACAACTTTTGCCCAAAGTTCCTAGGTCTCTGTCACTGGTGAGTCTATAGACATTTCTACAATGTTCAGGAAGCATTTTTGACCTCCTTCTGTGTTCACTTTTAGTGAAGTTTGACTGCATTTTTGGCTTTTTGGGCACCATTTCTTGGGCATCATTTGTATAGGAAGCTTTGGTGAGTGTTTCACATCTATCTGGAGTTGGTATGGGTATTTTGGCCATACTAATGGATTTTTTCACATTTTTCAGACTATTTTTTCTGCATTTTTGTGCAATTGGTGCATATTCTCTCCCCTTGCCCATCACTCATCCACCCCACTCATCAATTCCCCTGATTTTAGCTGCTGTTTTTGCTTTGTTGGGAGATTTTGACACTTTTTATTACCATAGATTTCCTGGGCCTTTGGGTGTCCCTGGATACTTGCTTTGTGCAGGTGTTGGAGTGAAAGCTGTTGACCAAGACCAACATGTTGACAAGTCCCTACTACCTAGCTTTGTAGATTCAACTCTATGTGTCTGCTGGTTGCTGAGGCCTCTCTGAGGCTGGGACCTCTGTCATCACTACAGAGTAGAGACCTGTTTGGTGGGGCCTTTACAGGCCAAGTGTGTTATGCCTGAGCACAGTGACTTCTTCAAATGAAATAGGCATGAAGCATGCAAGGGGGAGTCTATGGGCCAAACATATTGTAACCCCTATGGCTCAGTTATCTCTGAGGTCCAACAAAGGTTCTGTCTTCTGGTGATCTACTAGGGTAGTCACATGGAGAGAGAACAAGGACAAAGAGAAGGAAGTTAGCTGAGTTGCAAGCTATCAAAAAACTGCAGATACAGGATGAAGTACATAGGTTTACATACTCCTAAGTACTGAGTACTGTACCAGTTGTGGCATGACATGTCACAACGTGTATCCACAGTAGTCAACAGAACAATCAGTCAAATAAATAAAGGGGGAATGAGTCATATGGTGTCATACAATGGGGATAGGCAAGGAAATGAAGGCTGTACCAGCTGTGCAATCAATGCGCAGTGAGGAGCCAGACACCAGAGCTATAGTACAACATGTAGACAATAAAAATGAGTCAGAATGAGTCAACTGGAGCAAGGAAGAAACATGTCATCCATCAGAGAGGGTGGTGGAATACCAGATCAAAGGGGAACTATGGTCTCAACAGGTATTGGAAATACTGTGACAGCAGGAGATCTTCAGCAGTTCTTTGAGGGCTGGAGTAAAATGGGAGCCACATCTGTTGCAGCACAACCAATGTCCCAGGTAATGGCATTGGTAGCATGCATGTTGGAAGAGGATGTGGTCATTAGGGACAGGAGACTGTCCTCCAAGGTAGAAGTGAAGTTGATCAGTAGGTACAGGGATGAAGGGAGTCGCAGGGAGAGGGTTGGTGGCATGGATGGCATTGTGATAATGCTTGTGAATTCTGGCCCATGATGCATCCTGTAAGAGGACCTCCCAAGCAGAGTTGTGAGTCCCAGTATCCAACCATGCACCAACCTCTTTAAAGAGCTCCCCCTAATCCACAAACTTTATTTCCACAACACACCACTCCTTCTCCTTCTCCTGATCTGCCATCTGGTCTTCTTTTACTGAAACTGATGGTTCCTCTTGTTTCAGTTTGATGCAATCTAGGATTCATGAAGCCAGTGGCACCAAGAACTCTCTGACCTGTTGGCTTTGCAAATGGTGATAAGCACCTCCTGTGACAGCCTTGGTGATCTCCAAAGAACCCTTCTCCAGCATGTCAATCATAATTACCTCTGACAATGGGGTGGTTCCACTGAGTTTATGGGTTCATATCTTGGAGATGCAACTATTGATTATGTCTGTTGCTCTGTAGATTTGAGACAGCAACCCAAAATACATAATCTGTTCTGGTGTGCACCTGTCAATGTGGTCCTCATTGTGGAAGACGTCAAGTGCCCTAACAATGTCCAAGTAGTCACTTGCTGAGATTGGTAATCTTGGCTCATCATTCTGGGCAAGGGCAGTGGTTGTGAGGAGATTGAGGGTGACACGTTGAGCGCTGTCAGAGTAGGTGGTGTAGGCTGTGTGAAGGTCAGGAGGTTCAGAAGCATCAGCAGGACCCTTGTTGGCTGCTCCTGTATGGGGGTCATCATAAGTCCGTGCTTTACCCTTTCCCTTTCAGTTACTGTCCTCACTGAGGGGGACTCTGGCTGACAGAGTGGGGACATGCTTGACCAAGAACCCTGCGAGTGGGCATGGTCTGTGAGCTCTGGAGACAGGGGGCAATAATGGATGGGGTTGCAACAAGGGGGAGGAGTACATGGACACATAAAAGCCAGTGGGGGACGTTGGGGGAGAGGATGGTGCATAGATGGTGATGGGGGGAATGACCCTGTCGTCTGTGGTGTCGTGAAAGGATTCTGGGAGGGGGAGGTCAGCATAGTCATTCTCGGTATTGACAGAGCAAGGGGAATCCATTTAACTCCACAGGTGTTGAGCAAGTTTGTACTGGTTGAGTGCTTCAAGGGCATGTTCTTTTAAGTGTTCCTCAGGTTCCCATGTATTGGACAAATGTGGGAAACCTTTCCACTTGACCAAGTATTTTCATTTACCTCTGCATCCATCAACCTTGTGATTGATGACTGACTTGACCTCCCATTCTATTTCATCATCTACAATTTCCAGGAGTGGTGCTGGTGGAGCTCTTCCATAGGTATCATTTTCCTGATAAGGATAGATTCAAGAGGCATGGAACACAGGGTGAACCTTCCAGGTTGGCAGGAGAGCCAGTCAGAAGGCTACCAGGGAGACAACCTGAGTCACCTTGAATGGTCTGAGACGTCAGGGCACAATTTTGTCACACTGGTTTTTGATATGAAGGTGCCTGGTATCCAGGAGGACCTGATCTCTGACCTTGGGCAGCACATAGGACCCCTTTGATCATGAACACATCAGGTCCTGTGCTTTCTTATGCATGAGAATTGCTATATCCTGATTTGAGGCCAGCCTTTCTAACCTTTCATTGACTGAGGGTACCATGGTTAGTTTTACTTCAGGATAAGGGGATGGGTCATAACCCAGGAGGAGTGAAAACAGAGTCATTTGATGGATGGAGTGGACATGTGAATTGTGAGCAAATTCAGTGGATGGGAGTTTGGCTGCCCATGAGTTTGGTGCTTCTGTGCAGTACAGCTGAAGGTATCCTTCCACTTCTTGGTTGACATGTTTGCTCTCTCTGTTGGTCTGGGGATGGTAACCTGTCAAAAGTTTAGGGACAACCCCTATTGCTTTGTAAAGTTCCTTTGTAAAGGAAGATGCAAACTGTGGTCCCTGATCTGATATTACTGATTTGGGAAGTCCAAACCCAGAATAGATGAACTGATGGAAGAGTTGGGCAATGCCAACAGAGTCTATTGTTTTATGACATGGAACAAACAGGGCAGCATTTGACAGCCCCTGA